GCAGAAGCCTTCAAAGACCGGTAAGGAGCGTGGGCGGGCGGGTGGGCCCTTTGCCATTCCCGGAAGTTACTTACTTCCGGGTTCGCCGACCAACCAGTTTGCGTGGACTGCCGCGAACTGGTTGAAACCCACCCCTGATCTCTACCAGCCCCAAAGGACTTGCTTCTAAAACAGGCCATAGAAGTTGGAGGTGGTTTCTCCCACCCCCAATTCTTCATTTACCTTATGACAGTGTTGCTGAACCTTTTTGGCACCGAGTGCCGAAACAGGAGTGCGCGCATACACAGGGGGGAGCACCGGGAACCAGAAGAGCAGCTCCCCAGTGCACGTGTGCATGCTGGGAAGCTGAGCTTCTGGCTTCCTATGTGCACATGCATGCCAGTCACCGGGTCTTCTGGTTTCTGGCACGCATGCATGCATAAAGACCAGCTGACCGGCGCAATCCAGAAGAGAAATGGGCGACGGCTGGCATGCCCGGAGAGATGGCTCTGTATGCCACTTCTGGCACGCATGCCATAGGTTCACCATCATTGCCCTATGACACTCTCTTGATAAAACTAGATTTAGAAGATGCTTTTAAACTTTTCAATAAGCTTTAAAACAATGGATCCAAAGATTTTCTCCATTGGTATATGGAGAATAATGGATTGTGAATATGGAGGATGAGCAGGAGGGAGATGGATACTGATTGCAGATCAACTTACTAAGCCTCATTTGTTTTGATTCTAGCATCCGTTCCTCCGACCACACACAAGTGAACAAGATGATGCTCACAGAAGAAAGCCCAGCTATGCTAGGGGGTGGAAACACTAACCTTGAAGATGGGGTGAACCGGGCTTATGACAACGAAGAGGAAGGCGTGTCTTACAACTACACCTTTTTCCATATCTGCCTCTTCCTGGCCTCCCTCTACATCATGATGACACTTACCAACTGGTATAGGTAGGTACAAGTGGCACTGTCCTTCTTCTCCTGCTCCAGTTCCATTTGTGTCAAATAATGTTCAAGTTTCATTAGCTTGAGTTGTGTTTGAGGAGTGGGGGTGGCTATCTGAAGGTTGTTTCAAAACATCAACTGGCCCAGAACTTTATGCTCTGGGATTTTAACCTTTTGAGCACTTATTAGCTAGTGCTGTCTTTGTGGACTTCCTGTGTGGTTTTGGAGGAGGCCCCAATGGTGGGCATCCTAGGTTTTACTTTCCTGTATGAACTTGTCTGTTTTTAAGCTAAAGACGGACAGATGTTGCTTCTTTGAGATGGTGTTCCTTCCTTTTTCAAGTGCAAATTAAGGTGCAAACCAGTGCTGGGATTCAAATTTTTTTACTACTGGTTCTATGAGGTGGCTTTGTGGGCGTGGCATGGCTTTGTGGGTGTGGCTTTGTGGGCATGACAGGGGAAGGATACTGCAAAATCCCCATTCCCTCCCCACCCCACTAGCCTGCTTTCCAGCTCCATTCTCCAGGGCAACAAAAGAAGATCAGCTGGGAGGCAGTAGGGGCATGGCCAGCCTATTTTCTGGTTCTCCAAACTACTCCAAATTTCCACAACCGGTTCTCCAGAACCGGTCAGAACTGGCTGAATACCACCTCTGGTGCAAACTCTTTCAAGACTTGATATTTGGACATTTCCTATAAACAGTAATGTAGAAGGTGCAGAGCAAGTGACATGGTGTATCCTCACTCTTCTAGCGCCTTGCCTTCCTGCACCTCGGAACCTTCTAGAGACAATCGTTTATAGAGTTGGCCCTGATTGAAATGGTTCCCATATACAATTAACAAATCAATAAACAGAATCTTTGGCACCCAAATTGAATGGGGTTTCTTAAGCTTAGGAAAAAGGGCGTATAGAGAAGAATGGTACCGAGAAGATATTGAACCATAATCTGGTTGGATTGGGCTTCATGTGAGGTGCAAACCCTCGCAACATAATTTAGCGTGCTGGCTGAAGCAACCTGCTATGGCTTACTCAAATCTTTTTTTAAGAAATAAAAAAAATAAATTCCCAGCGTCTCAGGATGCGCTATGCTTCTTCAGGTTTCTAGCATTCCTGCTTTGCCCTCTTCCCGTTGCCTAGGAAACCAGCATGATTTGTCAGCTTGGCGCAAGTCAAGCTTTGGGGAGAGCAAAAAAAAAATAAATTCTCCTCAGATGAACTCGGCGTTGGCTGGGGAAGCAGAAGCAGGTGCTTCTTACAAGCTGGCAAGCCGTGCCTAGAATGGAGCATTTGGGGTGAGGGACCGGGGAGGGGGCGGTTGGGGGGGGCGGCGGGGGAGAGAATGCAGGGGAGGTGAGACCGTGGTTGCAAACGGCATTGCCTCATCCCGAAGACCACTATATTCCATGGCACAGAACATTATCGCCGAGTCCTTCGGTTATTTTTAGCGCATGACTTTCTGTCACGTCCCCCCAGACCTGCAACGGTGCCAAGTCGCGCTGCAGTGGGCTGGCACTGGCCATATATTGCCTCAGCAGGATTGACACGGGGTGTGTGTGTGTGTGTGTGTGTGTGTACTAGAAGATGGTCCGGTCCGTGACACTGCTCTGACCAAAAAACTGGGCTGCCCTGCCAAATTCTTGGCTGCCGCTGCCCTTTCCAAATGAAAACAAACCAGAGAAGGCCTTGCATGCTAAATTGGGGTTGGGTTCTTGATCTTGCTTTCCCTCGGAGAGGAGGACGTCCAAGGTCAGGCTGAGTGCGTAACTGCAAGAACCAGGCTTGAAAAACAAGGAAAGGGCCAGGAAAGGACCTCAGGCAGCAAATAAATCCTATTATTCTTCTCCCCCCAGGCAGACGGACAGGCGGGCTGGCTTTGCTACCGCATAGACAGAACTGGTAGAATCCAGCCCTGCCACATTATTGATGTGTGTGTGTTTGTGTGTGTGTGTGTGTCAACAAGGCCCTACAGTAGTATTGCTCAATCTTGGCAGCTTTAAGATGTGGGGATGTCAACGGCACAATTTCCCAGCCAGCTTGAGTTTGAAGTCCACATAATTTGAAGCTGCCAAGGTTGGGGAGAGCAGTGCCCTACAGATTTTCTGGAGGTCCTTCTGCCTCCCCCTTGGAGTTTATTTGGGAAGAAGGCAGGAAAAAGTTATCTGGGAGGGCTGTTACTCATTTACAAAGGCTTTGGCTGGTTTCCCGCCTTGCCCTAAACTGCGGCATGTTTAACTAAGGTTTATTGAATCAGCTACGCTTGGCTGGATTTATGTGCCAGATCCTGGTTTACAAGCCGCATTGGCTGAGTTTGCAGCAGAAGCTCAATCAGAACCAAACAAACCACAGTGTGGTTTAGCCCAGGCTTAAATTAATTACCCAAACCTGAATAAAAGTGGTTTTTCTTTGGGTAACGACACATAAACCCATTTATACAACAAGGATGTTTAAAGTTTACTAAAATAGACTTGAAAAGTTCCCAAGTCAAAAATTTGAATAATTTCATCAATGACCAACGGTAACTTGTTCAAATGACATAAAGATCATTCAGAGATACTGTTTTTATAATAGAGGTAATCCTCAAGTTATGAACATTTGTTCAGTGACCATTCAAAGTTACGACGATGCTGAAGCAAGAGACTTATAATCAGTTTTCAAGATTTATTAAAACTTTCTTATAAGTGGTTTTGGGTAGTGAAGGAAAAAGTTTGGGAAACACTAGTTTAATAATAATAAGAGAATAACAGAGTTGGAAGGGACCTTCTAGGTCATCTAGTCCAACCCCTTGCTCAAGTAGGAGACCCTATACTATTTCTGACAAGTGGATGTGCAGCTTCTTGAAAGACTCCAGTGATGAAGCACCACAACTTTTGAAGGCAAGCTTATTCCACTGGTTGATAGTTCTCACTGTCAGAAAATTTCTCCTTATTTCTAGGTTGAACCTCTCCTTCAACCGTTTTCATCCATTGTTCCTTGTCTGGCCTTCAGGTGCTTTGGAAAATAGGTTATCCCCCTCCTTCTCTGTGACAGCCCCTCAAATATTGCTATCATGTCATCCCTGATCCTTCTGTTCTCTAGACTAGCCATGCACAGTTCCTGCAACCATTCTTCATATTTTTTAGGTTCCAGGTTTAGCATGGTGTGCTCCATCTAGACTAGTCTTACTGATATGGATTTGCAAAAATGTCCCAAGGTTTTGGTAGTAGACCTTTGCCAGCGGTGGGTTTCAAAAATTGTTGGAACCTACTCTGTGGGTGTGGCCTCCTTTGTGGGAGTGGCTTTCCACCCGTGTGACCTGATGGGAGTGGGGGGCCGAACATGA